TCTTGCACAGGCTGCTGCTCCAGGCAGATTTAAACATGTGCCACATTACTGCCATTTATTAATGATGGATTTAACGGGACTCCAAGGAATATTCAGTGACTTAGAAATCTACTTGACTTATCCTCTGACTTGTGCTTTCAATTGACTTCAGAGTTGCTTGGAGTGTTCTTTTTCCTTCATGGTGTATTTATACCCTGAAGTACTGATTTACCAGTGACTGGACCGTACAGATACAGGAACCTTTATATACTACAGTCACTTCACAGCACTCAGATGATCTCCGTTTCACTAAATGTGTGACTAAGATGCACCTGTTTTGAATTAGGTGGGTCACTTTTATTGACATCACTTTGTAGAAATCTGTCTTCACACTCACTTATTGTCAAATAAGTCAAATTAAATAGACAATTTACCCATTCAAAGGGCCTTTTTAAATCACAGCCTAATTGTTCAAGTAATCTCATTTGTAGTACTGTAAGTCTTACACTTCTAGCTTCACTTTCAAGTAATAAAAAGACATTTAAATACTGCCTGGATGAGTGAAACCTACCTGGACATGCAGTCTCATAGTCGTGGCAGCAGTCCATGGTGGACACGCAGGCTTGGTCGCAGTAGCAGGTGCCGTATGAGCGGTCGGACCTCCATCCTTTACTGATGCAGGAAGGGTCTCGGCCGGTGCAGCACAGACCGGCATCCCGGCAGCCCGACCGACACGGACCGACCAGGAGGAAAGACACTCCGAGAAACAGCAGAGTGACGGAGCTGCTCCAGAGGGTCGACACCATGACTGACCACAGCAGGCTAGACGGTTCAGTGCAACAGGTTTAAGGACTTTGCAGTATTTCCTAGGATGTTTTTAAAGTGCTGTCCAGGTTCAAAATTAGCTCCTATCATCTCTGGTCAGTTACGGGTCAGCCCTGTGACCGGCAGGAGCTGAAACATGGGTGCTGAGCTGGAAGTTATTCATCTGTCAGCTCTCTTAAAGGAACAGTTCACCGCACACAACGGAGGCCCACAGAGACACATTCATAAGAATATAAACTGGGTGATTATTAAATTAGACCCATAAAACCAATTGAAAACATTAACCCAAAGTATAATAAGCGATAAATATAGTTTCACTTTTATAGTGAGGTTGTTAGTTTATCAAATGCATTGAAGCCAATCCTGCACAAGCACCATGAAAGACTTTCTAGTTTCCAAAATGTTCTCTACATACACAAGCATAAATCTGCTCCTGCAGTGTCTTTAAATGTGTAGCTACAAATATATGTGCAGATCAGCAAGGTAGCAAAGTATGTGGACCAGAAAGAGAATTAAAAAAAACAGTAATCTATGCACACCTACTGAGCTGCATTTGCATGGGATTAGAAGAATTAAGAGATTAAAGGAAGCCGTCATTGCACATATACAGAAAGCGGAAAACTTTACAAGTCTTCTCTGTGGTACAAAACTGATTAAAAAATGAAAACGAACGACCATTTTCCTCCTCTTGCGGCCTCCCTGTGTTTATGAAGCGGCCCACTTCCCTCGACCCATGTGTGCCCCAACATGTGAAAAGGATGGATTAATGAAACTCGTATGAGCTGAGGTTATTCATGCAAAAAGAACAACACGGCGGACAGTGCAGGCCTCCACTCAGAGTCAGATTCCCAGCGGCCTGCTATTGTGTGTGTGGAGAGACAAGATGGGAGCAGGGCTGATGGGTGGAGCTGAGAGCTGAGAGAGTCAATGCTCAAAACAAAACAGTCTATGGTTTGTGCTGTAAGAGGGAAACACACGGAGACGTAGCAAAAAGCACGAATACGACAGCATGTTGCTTGTTTTTTTCCCCGACATGCGGCGCTGCGTTGTGGCCCTCGCGTATTGACAGAACTGTGCAGCTTGCAGAGGTGTGACCTCGTCCATTTACTGCTCCAGTAAACAGACAGACAGCTCTGACTGGATGCAGCAAAGAGAGACCGGCTGGCTGCCTCTACTTTTTCTCATAGAAAGACAATTTCATGAAGCGTTTCTTAAAACAAAACGTC